CTTCTGCTGAAAAAACGAAGGAACCAGCCTTATATACCCTCCCAAAACGACGCCGTTTTTGCATTAAATAACCCAGAGAATCTGCGCGTTTTGCCAAGATCCGACCCAACCCGACCCGAGCGTCGAACCGCTTTTCGACCCACACGTGATCTACCTTCACGAGCCGTTGGTCGAGCCGTTCTCCGAGCCACTCCAGGTTTATTTATTTATTTATTTGTTTTTTATTATTAGATTAGGTTTATTTAATATTCTTTTATCTTTATTTTATTTTTATTTTTGTTTTACTTTTCTTTGTTTTTTTATTTTTTATTTTTTTTCTTTTTATTTTCACTTTTATTTTGTTTTATTATTTTATTTTTTTAAATAAAATCCAAAAAAAAATATTTTTGGAAAAAAGTTGAAAGTATCAATTTTCCTTAAAAGTAAATTTTCAAAAAAAAAAATTTTGAGGAAAAGTTGAAAGTATCAATTTTCCTTAAAAATAAATTTTCTAAAAAGCGTTTTTGAGAAAAAGTTGAAAGTATCAATTTTTCTTAAAAATAAATTTTTAAAACAGGTTTTTGAGGAAAAGTTGAAAGTATCAATTTTTCTCGAAATTAAAGTTTTCAAAAAATATTTTTGGGGAAAAGTTGAAAGTATCAATTTTCCTTAAAAGTAAATTTTCAAAAAAAAGTTTTTGAGGAAAAGTTGAAAGTATCAATTTTCCTCGAAATTAAAGTTTTAAAAGATATTTTGGGGAAAAGTTGAAAGTATCAATTTTCCTCAAGATTAAAGTTTTCTAAAAAATATTTTGGGAAAAAGTTGAAAGTATCAATTTTTCCTGCACAAAAACAATCATTTTTTTCTTTTTATTTTTTTTAATGTTAAATAATCCGACGATAGAGCCTCTGCAAGTGAAACAGTAGTTTTCTTGCATACTCTTGAGGTGAGGGGATTTTCTCAATTTTCTACTAAAAATATTAGAGTCAATTGAAAATAATTTTCAATAATTAATCATTTGGTAAATTTTTAAGGCTCATTGGATAACACAAATTTAAGTTGGTACCGTCTTTTGATGGGCGTTGTGAGGGTGCTATAACCTTCCTCACACGTAATCGAATTCTCGAACCCTGTTCTGGTTAGTAGACCTGAACCTATTCTTTTAGGGACTCTTAAACTTAGGTGTTCCCTGAAAGGACAGATTCTTTAGGTGGCCAATCGCACCTAGATAAAAAAGATTGGTGGCGACTCCCTAAAAGTCAATGTCTAGCGATAGATCCCTGGATCTAGACGTTATGACAAAATTATTGCTTAGTTAATTAATAAATGTCATCTAGATGTTAAATCCTAAATTTTAAATGCTAAATCTTAAATCATATAAAGAGATAATTCATGCAAAATCAGACTTTCAGAATTTTTCCGCAAAGATGTGTGAATGTCAATCAAGAGTAAGGTTGTCCAAATATATATCAATCAATTGAAAATAAGACTAGGCTAACCTTATCTTAAAAATAAAATTGTAACCAAGGTTAATCCTAATTCCAAACATTTTTTGATAAAGATTATCACCAACCAAATTTTAATTTTCTAAGTTCTTCCAGTTTTTCCTTTTTGTTTAATGATAAACAATAATAATAAAATAAATGAGATAAAATTAAATTAAAGATAAAAATAAAGATAATAGGACAATAAAAATAAAAATAAATGAATAAAATAAAGAATAAAGAATAAACCAGCTAATGATTTCTGGAAAATGATTTTTGCAAAATATTTATGTTTTCTAAATTGAAACAAATTTTCTGTTGTTGGGATGATTTAATGAAAAATATTTTTCATTATTTGCTTGTTTTCTGGAAAATCTTTTTTTAATAATATTAATATAATTATTAAAATATTAAAAATTATCTATTATTAAAATATATTGAAATTAATTATTATTAAAATTATTAAAATTAACAAATAATTATATTTTAATAATAATATTTAATATTAAAATATTATGTTAATATAACAAATACTTAAAATAAAACTATTTATGATTCTTTATATTACTTATTAATATATTATAATATTATTTATTTATTCATATAATATTATTTATAAGTAAAATTATACTTAAAAGTATTAATAAATAGTTCTACTTATAGACAACCTTTTTTTGGAAAATGTCTTCCTCTTTTCAAATTCGTAAGAAAATTTTCAAAAAAATGATATCTTTTTCCATTTATTAGTAAATCAGTTTTCATTGACTAGTCAATTTTTTACCAAATAAACACTTGAAAATGTGAAAAATCATTTTTCGAAAATAATTTTTTACGAAACAAATGGAGTCTAAATGAGATATTTATAATAACAAAGTAAGAATAAAAAATAAGAATTGGGTCCTTAAAAGTTGAAGAAGCTCAAATAGCAAGAAAAATGGACTTAAACAATTTCGAAAACGCATACAGAAATTTAAACAAAAAATCAGAACCTTGCATAGAAGTATAAAGGATTTACGCTTTGTAATAAAAATGGAAATCAAGAAAAACAAGTAAACTAGAAGCAAAAATGGCTATGAAAAGTGAAGAAAATACAAGAAAAAAACTAATCCTAAAACCTCAAAACTGGTCAAGAAGACGGCTGGGGACTCTTCTTCTTGCAGCAAAAGAAATCTTCTATTTAAGGGTCTTTCCTAGGTTTTTGGAAGCCAATCAAATTAAAATAATATTCCAAGAGAAATATTTTTTAATACTTTACCTAAATGTTAGAGAGTTAATAATAATTATTATCTATAACAAATGTTATTTTTTTTTCATTTTAATAGATTATTATGAAGAATCTTAGGCAAAAAAGATGATCCTTAAATTTCACTTAAATGATGGAGAGTTTTAAGGTAACGCTTTAATCTCAGGATTTTCATTTTATTTTTAAACCAAATTTCTTTGTTTCACTAAATAAAAATTGATCATAAGAAATGAAGGGAATTATTATTAGATATCAAGTTGAAAATCATTTTATCCAACAACAAATGAATAATACATGATTAATTGATACCGTTTTTAAAACAGACACTATGAGAGTGCTCCTTCCCCATTCACAACTATACTTCTAAATGCAACTTTATTTTCAAAAACTAAAATTATTTTTTTGATAAATTTTAAAATAATTTTAGGGATTTATGGAAAAAATAAATTTTTAGGTGGCAAATTTCACCTCATAAAAAGTATTGGTGTAACTCCCTATTTTGATTAGTTTTAAAATTTTAGTCTTGTGATTGGGTTTTCAGACCCGCATGTCATTACCTTAAGCACCATATTAAAGATTTTTAAAATTCAAATAACATATTGAATATTTTATTATAATTCAAGAGTCATTCATGATATTAACTCATCTTAATATTATTTGAATACGTAGCATAAATAATAAAATAATTTATTCTATTAAAATTCTCAAACATTGGTGATAAAATCATTATAAATTTACAATGATAAAAATCATTAATAATGGAAGCCAAAATATTACTAAATTTTACAAACATTAACAACCAAAATATTAATGTGTTTTATATTTCATAATTTCAAGGTTTTGATTATAATAAATTTATGTTACCTATATTTTCTTTAATATTTTATTATCAAAACTATGAATTTTGTTTATAATTAGAACCTTAAAGTTATGAAATAGGAAACACTTAAAGAATATATTTGCATGGGCCGAATTACAAAATTTGAAATAGTACTATTTTAGTAACTTTAACAATTAAATAATATTTTTCATTGTTCAAATTAAAATGGTATAATTACATTAGACTAAAAAGTTTATAATTTAACTTTATGCAATAAAGATATCAAATGGTTATTTCTATTTTTTATAAAATTTGAAGATTTATTCATTCATGACTAATTTATAAATTTTTAAAGTTGAGTGATAGAAAAACAATTTTTAAAAATATATTTTGTAAAGTCGATAACTTGTGGTCATGTGGTCTAGCCCTGATTTCTCTCTACCTACTGCATGATATCAAGTCTTGTTATTTTGTCAAAAAATTAAAAAAAAAAAAATACTAATCGTCTTAGCTGTTAATTACAAAATAATTTTAAGTGAAGGATATATATATCATTTGTTTTCTATTTATTTTTTCATTCTTTTTATTACTTAATATATATTTTAACTATAAAAGTATGAATAATTAATGAATGGCTCCATGGCCTTAACATCATAAAAGGATTTGAAAACGTAAATCTAAACAAAGGCCTTGAAATTTTAAAAAGATTTAAAATACTCCTCTAAATAGAGTTTTTAAAACCTTTAAAGGATTTGAAAAAATTTATCTGAAGAGATCTTCAAAGCTTAAAAAGGCTTTGAAAACGCTCTTCTAAGCAAAGATTTTAAAACTTTAAAATCCCTTCTTTCTGGCTCAAGTTTTTTCTTTTAATTTTTAGAAATATGATTTTTGTTAGAGGCGGTTTAATTTAGTTGAACAAAAGGACGATATGTTACGGAAAATTATCCACTCACCGTCAATACCAATTTTAAACTCTAACATCTATGTATCCTTAATTTTAGGATATTATATAAAATAATATAATTAAAATTAATCAAAACTGAAAAGGTAATATACCATCCACCAAATTAGTTCTATGGTTCTTGAGTCACTTCTTTATGCAGTATTAATTGATATAAATGTACATAATTAAGACTATTTGGATAAGCAGTGAAATTAATTACAATAATATTAAAAACAGTAATAAAATTTATTGTAATTGCGATTGAAAAAAAATTTTAATAAAAAATTTATGCTGACTTGATCTCATTGAAATTGATATTTAGATTCAATTAAAAGTGCGATAAGCTTAATTGTACCACACTGAAAGTAAGGTAGAATCCAAACAAGAACTAAAATTATCTGCCTTCCATTTACTTAAAAACAAAAAACGAAAACTAGCACATGTGAAAATGTTGTACTAACCGAGTTGTTGTCATCTTATGGCCAGTGGATGTTGTAAACTAGTATATATGTAGGTGTATATTGCAGCATTCGAAGCACAACGCAACACAATACAAATTACTACGATGGCTGCTAATTCAACACTACTGGCAATACAATTTGTAGCGGGTGTTCCAGCACCAAGGTGCCATCTTCGTAGAAATTTGGTAACCAAAACACCCGAAACTACTATCATGGCCGTCAATCCAGCATTACAACATGAAGCCAGTGTCCTAGTATCCCCACCATGCCAACTTCATAGAAATTCAGTAAGTACCAAAAGAAACAAAACAACCGTGGCTGCCTATCCAAAAGTAATAGATATTGTATCGGCGGGTATTCCATTCTCCACACTGGGCGAGCTTAGCAACTTATCCGGGCAAACTGTTTCCCTGGATGACAAGGACATTTGGGAAGGGTATCGGTCTGGTAACTTCCCAAAATCAATTATTACTGGAGAGGTGGGTGAGTTTCAGCACAGTGCAGAGTCTGCAGGTAAGATTATAGGTTCAGTTGGTGCTCTTGCGTACAAACTGGATGAGAAGATTAAGTGGATTATTGCCTGGAGCAACCCACAAAACGAACTCAACAAGGTATTGCATTTAACTCGTAACATATATATATATATATATATAAATATATTTCTAACAAATAATTTAAGCCATCTGATCATCACACCATTGAAATATAATCAATTAATCTATCAACTGCAGGTCTATACTGAGATTCTCGAAGAAACTGCTGATTGGGAACAAATCAAAACAAGTCTTGAACAAGATGGACAAGCAAAATATACAGATACTAAATTTGGATACCTGTCAGAAGTTGAAATTGATCCAATCAGCGGTACGCCAACGATGAAGGCAAAACTTAGCCCGGTAGCTAAGCCAGCAAGTTAATGCATAAGCTCGCTCTGCTTGCTGATCAAACTGTGGTGGTAGGCGCATTACTACTAGAATAAAATTTGATAGCCAGCAGTGGAGTATCTTAATTATGTACGTGCTTAATTATTGTGTGTTTATTATATGTAAAATTTCAGAGTACATATACTCTGAATTGGAAATGGGGGCCTTCGAACTTATGTCATTTCCATGTCTATAGACATGGCTATTTGTATCCTAATATGGAAAAATAAAAAAAGAAGGCCTTTATTTTCTAATCATGTTATATATTTGCTGCTGCAGCTATATCTTCCACCCTTCAAAACTATAACTATGTAGTTTAATTGTATCAACAATTCAACAACATCTTCATTATCTAAAATAATTAAAGAATATGATGATGATGATGATCAAAATATTACTAGTTTCTGCAACAGCATCCTAAGTGTGAAATTATTACTTAATTAATTAAGCCTGTGCATTTACAATTTAAAGATGTACATTTTGATAACCATCAGCCAATAAAATAGCTTTATTGCTAGTTGTATTGCTAATACAATCAAGTACATGATTTATTGAAATGTTTTTTATAATTAGAAATTATGGTAAGCTTGTCACCGTTCATACTATATAAATTGATTGAATTTTGTACATGTATAGAATATAAACATTATTTTTTTATTAATGTTTTCTTTTAGTCTTACTAGTATCCACCTCTTAAGAAAAGTAGATGGACCATTTACATTAAATCTCAGATTTATTTGCATCTAATTTACCATTTATTTATTCTAGGGATAACATACAAGAATATGTTATGTATCAGCACTTAAAATTAGAAAACTCTCAAAACCTTTCAAATAATTAAAACAGAAAAAAAATGCTAAAGTCGAAACTTTTCAAATTATCAATTTTTTACTATAAGAACTAATAAATATAATTATATAACCTTTGTTTTAGTGAAAATTTGAGAAGAGGTTAGTATAACAAAATAATAACATAACTCTATACAAAATCTACACAAAGGAACATAGAAACGGTTGTGATTACTACGAGAATAAGAAATATATTTGACACTCTTGGACCACTATTACTATGAGTGATCCCTATCAATTTTTATTGAAAATCAAGCTTTTTGAATTAATAGAAAAATCGGATCCTACAACAACACTAAAAAAAAGCAAGCAATATAAGCTGCTAGAAAAGCAAACAATAAGCTACAACACTCAAAAGGATATCCTACATCTATGAAAACCACTATACAAGGTTTTGAGTTCTATTCACATCTCATTTGACAAAATCATTATCAAAATTATTTGCATCCCGTGGTGTATGAAAAATTTGCCAAGTTTCCATTTGTAGTTTCAAGGTTTCCAAATGCATAATGTGCTTTTTTAATCTTGAAGAGGTACTTTGGGATGATTTTATCCAAGCCAGAGTCACCTTCTATAATCATTGTATTTAATATTAATCCCTGAGGAAGTCAATCTCTCTTATTGCCATCAACTCGATCTCGTTTGAGTAAATCAGGCTTAGGTTTTAACACAACTTTTAAGCTGAAATCCAATGTATAATTAATCTACAAGCTAATGCAAATATTTGTTAATACATAATTTTAAAGTTATTTGTACATATTATATGCGATTATATGTTTAGCATATAATTATTTAGAAATAAATATATAAAAAAAATCACGTACAATGTACATGATAATAAAATTAGTATATAAATTTTATATACTATTAAAAAATCAAATGAAGAAAGCATGAAGAAAAACAGAACAATTATCTTCCATTTTTGCAAGGAATCTACGAAATGGTTAGCCTTCCTTTAAATGTGAACGGACTCTACCACCTCAACGATTTCTCTGAATCTATCAATCTCAGCAAAAATCATTCATTGTTTCCAAAGTCAAGAATCCTTATAACACACGCAGCTAATAGCCACCATAGAATCTGTTGATCAAAAGAAAGATGCAAGCTGTCCATGAAAGACACGAACTGTTTCACCGAGAATTTTCATTTCTATCAGATTCCCGTACTATATTGTCTTTTGTGGTTGTCCCTATTGTAGATAACCATTTAGATTCAAGGTTTCTAATTTCTGAAATTTTGATTTATTATCCAATATTTGAGTTACTTTTGGATTTTGATATTTTGATTTTCATGGGCCATTTAATTTAGCCCATTTCTTTGCCCTCATTTGTATTTTATGTTTTAGATAGAATAATATATAAGATTGAAAAATAAAAAGGCATAAAATTGGAATTTAATTCGGATAAAAACTCTAGGATCATGAAAGTTTTAAATTTTGAAGTCATTTGGATAATAAGGTTTTTCTTTTCGAAACCCTCATCCTGTTTGAAGGAACAAGATAGGATTTCTTTTAAATTTTATAATTTCAATCTCAAGCTTATTTTAAGCTTAATCTCCATCGTACTAACCCCTATATAAACCCCAAGAATCACACAAAGAAGGAGAAAGAAAAAATCAAAAAGTAACCAAAGTGAGATGAGGTTGGCAGTAAAAAAAATTCAGTTCTTGTTTGAATTTTGTTCTTTTGAAGATTCGAAATTTGTACAAACTGGATGATAAGATTAAGTGGATTATTTGCCTAGAACAACCCACAAAATGAACACAAGGTATTGCATTCAACTCGAAACATATATATTATAAACAATAAATTAAGACAATTGATCATCACCACATTGAAATATAATCAATTAATCTATCAACTACAGATCTATATTGAGATCCTCGAACAAACTGCTGATTGGGAGCAAATCAGAATAAGTCTTGAACAACTTGGGAAAACAAAATATACAGGTACTAATTTTGGATACCAGTCAGAAATTGAAATTGATCCAAACAGTGGTACGCCAACATTCAAGACAACAGTTAAGCCAGCAGCAAATGCATAAGCTGGCTCTACTCGCTGATCAAACTGTGGTGGGGAGGTTGTCAAAAATAATAATAATGTGACGTGGGTGCACTACTACTACTACTACTACTACTACTACTATAAATTTCATAGCCAGTGGATTATCTTAATTATGTACCTTCTTAATTGGCTTTTGTTTGTTATATGTAAATCTTCAAAAATATATAACGTCTGAATTTGAACTTAGGGCCTTCAAAACTTTTGTCATTTCCATATCTATATACATGGTTGTTTGTATCCTAAAATGGAAAAACAAAAAAGGCCTCTATTATCTCATCATTAATATATGTTTGCTCTGACAGCTACATCTTCCACCCTTCAAAACTATAATAAGTGGTGGAGTTAATTTTTATACACTGTCAGTGTATCATTTTTATACACTGTCAATGATAATAGGATGACACTTCATTTGATGAATAAAAATTAAACTTTTAGGTCTTTAAAAATAAATATTAATAAATTTATTTAAGGTTAATTAATTAGTAAAATTTTGCTCTTCCTTACTTTTTTTACTGCCTCCCTTTTCAAAAGTTTGAAACCCTGGTACACATTTTCAATCTTGCTATTTTGACTACTTCACTCACATTTTTAACCCCATCTATCGATCTTGTTATAGGATTTACAATGTAAAAATAGGTTATATGAGACATCATAATGCCCATAACAAAAAAAAAAATGTCAAATAATTGATAAATTTCGTTTTATTATAGGTTCTAAGAAGGTCAATCACATGCAGTGAACAGCTTTTAGTATTTCTAATACTTTTTCAATTTGCCATAATTATCACAATCATCCAAGGATGCTATTGGGATGGTAGATTTTGTTATCATCTATAGGGAACCAAACTCTTTGGTAGATTCTTTGGTAAAGAAGGGTGTTGCTGGTGGCACATTGTTTCATGCACGGTTGTAACTAGTGATTGAGTGCTTTTATTATGATGTTTCAAGTGTTAAGCTTTATCTGGTGCTTTAGTTGATTAGAGTTTGTTTTTCAACAGAGATGAACAAGTGTAGTTCTATGCTTATTTTAATAGAAAGAGTCTTTTGGTTGAGAAAAAAAAAATTAAAGGATAAAGAAACATCTTTTTATAGGAATACAGTTTAAATAGCTCTTAGGGAAGAAGTCTACATCGAAAGGTTCCTACATTTATTCTAAAAAAACTTAACTCAAAATCTGATAAGATGACTAATCTGTGAGTAACAAATTTGTATGAAAAAAGTAATGCTGATCCATCTTTGTTTTGAAAAATAATCTCTACCTTTATAATTGTGAATGAAGCAGCCAAAATAGCAAGATTGAAAAGAGGTGTGAGGCTTTCAAAATATTGAAGAGGGATTCGATAAAGAAAATTAGAAGAAAGCAAAATTTTAATAATTAATTAGAGCTAAATAAATTTATTAATATTTATTTTTAAGGACTTGGAAGTTTAATTTTTATTCATTAAATGAGGTACCATCTTATTATTAATTAATAGTGTATAAAAATAATACACTGTTAGTGTATTAAATATTAACTCTAAGTGGTGAGCTTAAGTTGAATTTGATAATATTGGTATAATTACTAATGCAGTCAGTTACTCTCCATTAACCTTGTTAATGTTACAACTTGAATGAATGATATCAGTTTATTTTAGCTAAAGTGATATTTTTAGTTAGGTGATCAATTCTATTTCAAAAGAGTTTGATTCTTTTTTTCTAAAAAATTCTAAGAAACCTTAAATAATGAATTGATATTATATGGTAGGTGATCGATCAAATATTATTGTTTTTGAATTTTATCCAATTTAAACTTGAATTTCATAAAAAATAGCTAACATTAATTTCTTAAATATATACATACATATATATATATATATATCTTATCTTGTTAAGCAATCAAAGAGAGAAAATCAAACCATTAAATCAAGTAAAGACATTGGAAGGTAATTAACAGATTTGAACTTCAATTTATCAAATCAAAATCAAGCTTTTTCTAACTGAAATCCTTCCCTGTATACTAATTCAAGTAAAGAATAAATTAGAATGAGAAGTGTCATAACGTATTGGTCCGAAAATTCGATCACTAAATGTAAAATTTTAAAAAATAAAGAAAACATAAGGAGTCACCACCAATCTTTTTTATGGTGCAATTTGCCATCCAAAAGTTTTATTTTTTTAATAAAACTATAAAACGAGTTTAAAGTTTATAAAAAAAATAAGTTTGGTCAACGAAAACGAAATTGGGTCCGAATATGTGTGGGAAAAGACTAGCACCCCTACAACGCTCATAGAATTGGTACCAATTAATCATACGCTATTTATAATTGTAGATAAAAATGATTTTTTTGTATGAAATTGAATTATAATTTCTTT